TGTGTTTGAGAAAGATGCAAGGTGAGGTTAGTAGAAGTGTGTTTGAGAAAGATGCAAGGTGAGGTTAGTAGAAGTGTGTTTGAGAAAGATGCAAGGTGAGGTTAGTAGAAGTGTGTTTGAGAAAGATGCAAGGTGAGGTTAGTAGAAGTGTGTTTGAGAAAGATGCAAGGTGAGGTGAGTAGAAGTGTGTTTGAGAAAGATGCAAGGTGAGGTTAGTTGAAGTGTGTTTGAGAAAGATGCAAGGTGAGGTTAGTAGAAGTGTGTTTGAGAAAGATGCAAGGTGAGGTGAGTAGAAGTGTGTTTGAGAAAGATGCAAGGTGAGGTTAGTTGAAGTGTGTTTGAGAAAGATGCAAGGTGAGGTTAGTAGAAGTGTGTTTGAGAAAGATGCAAGGTGAGGTTAGTAGAAGTGTGTTTGAGAAAGATGCAAGGTGAGGTTAGTAGAAGTGTGTTTGAGAAAGATGCAAGGTGAGGTTAGTAGAAGTGTGTTTGAGAAAGATGCAAGGTGAGGTTAGTAGAAGTGTGTTTGAGAAAGATGCAAGGTGAGGTTAGTAGAAGTGTGTTTGAGAAAGATGCAAGGTGAGGTTAGTAGAAGTGTGTTTGAGAAAGATGCAAGGTGAGGTTAGTAGAAGTGTGTTTGAGAAAGATGCAAGGTGAGGTTAGTAGAAGTGTGTTTGAGAAAGATGCAAGGTGAGGTTAGTAGAAGTGTGTTTGAGAAAGATGCAAGGTGAGGTTAGTAGAAGTGTGTTTGAGAAAGATGCAAGGTGAGGTTAGTAGAAGTGTGTTTGAGAAAGATGCAAGGTGAGGTGAGTAGAAGTGTGTTTGAGAAAGATGCAAGGTGAGGTTAGTTGAAGTGTGTTTGAGAAAGATGCAAGGTGAGGTTAGTAGAAGTGTGTTTGAGAAAGATGCAAGGTGAGGTGAGTAGAAGTGTGTTTGAGAAAGATGCAAGGTGAGGTTAGTTGAAGTGTGTTTGAGAAAGATGCAAGGTGAGGTTAGTAGAAGTGTGTTTGAGAAAGATGCAAGGTGAGGTTAGTAGAAGTGTGTTTGAGAAAGATGCAAGGTGAGGTTAGTAGAAGTGTGTTTGAGAAAGATGCAAGGTGAGGTTAGTAGAAGTGTGTTTGAGAAAGATGCAAGGTGAGGTTAGTAGAAGTGTGTTTGAGAAAGATGCAAGGTGAGGTTAGTAGAAGTGTGTTTGAGAAAGATGCAAGGTGAGGTTAGTAGAAGTGTGTTTGAGAAAGATGCAAGGTGAGGTTAGTAGAAGTGTGTTTGAGAAAGATGCAAGGTGAGGTTAGTAGAAGTGTGTTTGAGAAAGATGCAAGGTGAGGTGAGTAGAAGTGTGTTTGAGAAAGATGCAAGGTGAGGTTAGTTGAAGTGTGTTTGAGAAAGATGCAAGGTGAGGTTAGTAGAAGTGTGTTTGAGAAAGATGCAAGGTGAGGTTAGTAGAAGTGTGTTTGAGAAAGATGCAAGGTGAGGTTAGTTGAAGTGTGTTTGAGAAAGATGCAAGGTGAGGTTAGTAGAAGTGTGTTTGAGAAAGATGCAAGGTGAGGTTAGTAGAAGTGTGTTTGAGAAAGATGCAAGGTGAGGTTAGTAGAAGTGTGTTTGAGAAAGATGCAAGGTGAGGTTAGTAGAAGTGTGTTTGAGAAAGATGCAAGGTGAGGTGAGTAGAAGTGTGTTTGAGAAAGATGCAAGGTGAGGTTAGTAGAAGTGTGTTTGAGAAAGATGCAAGGTGAGGTTAGTAGAAGTGTGTTTGAGAAAGATGCAAGGTGAGGTGAGTAGAAGTGTGTTTGAGAAAGATGCAAGGTGAGGTTAGTAGAAGTGTGTTTGAGAAAGATGCAAGGTGAGGTTAGTAGAAGTGTGTTTGAGAAAGATGCAAGGTGAGGTTAGTAGAAGTGTGTTTGAGAAAGATGCAAGGTGAGGTTAGTAGAAGTGTGTTTGAGAAAGATGCAAGGTGAGGTTAGTAGAAGTGTGTTTGAGAAAGATGCAAGGTGAGGTTAGTAGAAGTGTGTTTGAGAAAGATGCAAGGTGAGGTTAGTAGAAGTGTGTTTGAGAAAGATGCAAGGTGAGGTGAGTAGAAGTGTGTTTGAGAAAGATGCAAGGTGAGGTTAGTTGAAGTGTGTTTGAGAAAGATGCAAGGTGAGGTTAGTAGAAGTGTGTTTGAGAAAGATGCAAGGTGAGGTTAGTAGAAGTGTGTTTGAGAAAGATGCAAGGTGAGGTTAGTAGAAGTGTGTTTGAGAAAGATGCAAGGTGAGGTTAGTAGAAGTGTGTTTGAGAAAGATGCAAGGTGAGGTTAGTAGAAGTGTGTTTGAGAAAGATGCAAGGTGAGGTTAGTAGAAGTGTGTTTGAGAAAGATGCAAGGTGAGGTTAGTAGAAGTGTGTTTGAGAAAGATGCAAGGTGAGGTGAGTAGAAGTGTGTTTGAGAAAGATGCAAGGTGAGGTTAGTTGAAGTGTGTTTGAGAAAGATGCAAGGTGAGGTTAGTAGAAGTGTGTTTGAGAAAGATGCAAGGTGAGGTGAGTAGAAGTGTGTTTGAGAAAGATGCAAGGTGAGGTTAGTTGAAGTGTGTTTGAGAAAGATGCAAGGTGAGGTTAGTAGAAGTGTGTTTGAGAAAGATGCAAGGTGAGGTTAGTAGAAGTGTGTTTGAGAAAGATGCAAGGTGAGGTTAGTAGAAGTGTGTTTGAGAAAGATGCAAGGTGAGGTTAGTAGAAGTGTGTTTGAGAAAGATGCAAGGTGAGGTTAGTAGAAGTGTGTTTGAGAAAGATGCAAGGTGAGGTTAGTAGAAGTGTGTTTGAGAAAGATGCAAGGTGAGGTTAGTAGAAGTGTGTTTGAGAAAGATGCAAGGTGAGGTTAGTAGAAGTGTGTTTGAGAAAGATGCAAGGTGAGGTTAGTAGAAGTGTGTTTGAGAAAGATGCAAGGTGAGGTTAGTAGAAGTGTGTTTGAGAAAGATGCAAGGTGAGGTTAGTAGAAGTGTGTTTGAGAAAGATGCAAGGTGAGGTTAGTAGAAGTGTGTTTGAGAAAGATGCAAGGTGAGGTGAGTAGAAGTGTGTTTGAGAAAGATGCAAGGTGAGGTTAGTTGAAGTGTGTTTGAGAAAGATGCAAGGTGAGGTTAGTAGAAGTGTGTTTGAGAAAGATGCAAGGTGAGGTGAGTAGAAGTGTGTTTGAGAAAGATGCAAGGTGAGGTTAGTTGAAGTGTGTTTGAGAAAGATGCAAGGTGAGGTTAGTAGAAGTGTGTTTGAGAAAGATGCAAGGTGAGGTTAGTAGAAGTGTGTTTGAGAAAGATGCAAGGTGAGGTTAGTAGAAGTGTGTTTGAGAAAGATGCAAGGTGAGGTTAGTAGAAGTGTGTTTGAGAAAGATGCAAGGTGAGGTTAGTAGAAGTGTGTTTGAGAAAGATGCAAGGTGAGGTTAGTAGAAGTGTGTTTGAGAAAGATGCAAGGTGAGGTTAGTAGAAGTGTGTTTGAGAAAGATGCAAGGTGAGGTTAGTAGAAGTGTGTTTGAGAAAGATGCAAGGTGAGGTTAGTAGAAGTGTGTTTGAGAAAGATGCAAGGTGAGGTGAGTAGAAGTGTGTTTGAGAAAGATGCAAGGTGAGGTTAGTTGAAGTGTGTTTGAGAAAGATGCAAGGTGAGGTTAGTAGAAGTGTGTTTGAGAAAGATGCAAGGTGAGGTTAGTAGAAGTGTGTTTGAGAAAGATGCAAGGTGAGGTTAGTTGAAGTGTGTTTGAGAAAGATGCAAGGTGAGGTTAGTAGAAGTGTGTTTGAGAAAGATGCAAGGTGAGGTTAGTAGAAGTGTGTTTGAGAAAGATGCAAGGTGAGGTTAGTAGAAGTGTGTTTGAGAAAGATGCAAGGTGAGGTTAGTAGAAGTGTGTTTGAGAAAGATGCAAGGTGAGGTGAGTAGAAGTGTGTTTGAGAAAGATGCAAGGTGAGGTTAGTTGAAGTGTGTTTGAGAAAGATGCAAGGTGAGGTTAGTAGAAGTGTGTTTGAGAAAGATGCAAGGTGAGGTTAGTAGAAGTGTGTTTGAGAAAGATGCAAGGTGAGGTTAGTTGAAGTGTGTTTGAGAAAGATGCAAGGTGAGGTTAGTAGAAGTGTGTTTGAGAAAGATGCAAGGTGAGGTTAGTAGAAGTGTGTTTGAGAAAGATGCAAGGTGAGGTGAGTCAAGGGCTGGCATGTGAAACGAATGAAAGGCTTCTGGCCCGTGTACTACCGCGTCAACTAACCACTTCTTGCAAACAGTCAAGTTGATTCAAGTGAGATGTGATAGTGGTGTCAGGCACGCACAATAATGTAAGTAGGTCAGGAGGTGACAAGTAGAACAACTGAAAGGCTTCTGGCACGTCTACTACCGCGTCAACCGCTTTCTGCAGACTGTCAAGATGATTCAGGAGAGCTGAGTAGAGACGATTTTTTTAGTTGGATTCAGGTCAAGAGGTGACAGCTGAATTGATTGAACTACCGCCTCAACCGCTTCTTGCTGCAGACAGGGAAGACGATTCAGTTGAGTCAAGTGAATGAAGTCGATTCAAGTGAGTTGAGTTTTGACAATCTGTTTTGACAATCTGTTTTGAGCCAAGGGGCAACATTGAAAGGCCGCTGGCAACTCGTGCGATCGCCCGCTCACAGCCCTTCTCCTCCCTGCCTTCTTTGCTTCCCTCGTTTCTCCTTTATTTCTTCTCATTTCTTGCAGGACGCTATAGACGTGTACGCCTTAACAACAGACCTCCGACTAGAGATGATGGTCAGCACGTGCAACCACCCGCAGCCAGTCAACAGCAGCCACTGGCCCGAGCGCGCTTCTTACCTTCCCCTCTCCTCCCTGTTCCCTTCTTCGTCTACAGGACGCTATAGACGTGTACGGTCTAACAGACCTCCGACTAGAGATCATAGTCAACATGTGCGACCACCCGCAGTCCTTCTACAGCAGCCACTGGGCCGGCCGCGCTGCTTACCCGCCCACCCCTCTCCTCCCTTTCTTCCTTTCTCCCATTCACCTGCATTCCTCCTTGCCCTTTGTTGCAGGATGCAATCGACGTGTACGGCTTGACAGATCTACGGTTAGAGATGATAGTCAACACGTGCGACCACCCGCAGTCGTTCTACAGCAGCCACTGGGCTGACCGTGCTGGTTACCCTGTCATGAGCATGGGGTTCACGGTAGACACCATGGACATACCCATCCCTGACCCGCTCGACCTGACAGAGGATTACACTCCTGATCTGAGCACCCAGGTGTGTGGAGGGAGAGAGAGGCACTCAGGTGTGTGTGGTATGTAAATCACTGGGCTGACCCCACTGGTTACCCTGTCTGTGATGAGCATGGGCTTTACAGTCGACACCATGGACATACCCATCCCTGACCCGCTTGACTTGACAGAGGACTACACACTGATCTCAGCACGCAGGTATGTTGTGTTGTGAGAATGAGACCAGCCAGGAGGACTCAGGTGTGCGTGGTATGTGACCCACTGGGCTGACCGTGCCGGTTACCCTGTCATGAGCATGGGCTTCACAGTCGATACCATGGACATACCCATCCCTGATCCACTTGATCTGACAGAGGACTACACAGCACTCAGGTGTGTCAATGAGATGAGAGGCACTCAGGTATGGTATTTAAGCCATGTGTCACCCTCCTTCCCCCCCCTCTCCTCATGCTGGTCACCGTATGAAGACATTGGCTTCACGGGTGACCTGATCTGCACGGATGGAAGCTCACATGCACAGATGCATGCGTGCATAGAATGAACCCCCATTCGTGTGGTGTGGCGTTTGAGTCGACTGATGCGCCGCATTCACCCCCTGTCCGTCCCTAACACCCTCTCAATCGCCAGGTACCGTGGGAAATCAAGGAAGCAAGAGCAGTGTTCATTGGCAATACGACCAACTTTGACAGGCTGGACGGCAACTGGGGCGCCAGCCAACCCCCTTGCTTCTCTGCACCTCTCTTGTACACCACACCGGGTTCCTTGGGAAAGATGGAGGCCCGGGCAGTGTTCCGAGGGAAAAAGACCAACTTTGCCATGCTGGACGGCAACTGGGGCGCCAACCCGCGCGTGCGGTTACTGAGCCAGCTTCCACCCCCAAACCCGCATCTCTGCACCAATGTTGTACACCAGGTCCCTTGGGAAAGGAAAGAAGCGCGAGCAGTGTTCCGCGGAAAGACCACCAACTTTGACATGCTGGACGGCAACTGGGGCGCCAACCCGCGCGTGCGGCTGCACCGGCTGTCAGATGTGCACTCGGCGCTGATGGAGGCTCACATCAACGCGTGGAGCCACGCCAAGCCTGCGGTGATCAAAGCGATGGCGGAAGATGGGCTGTTGCTGGCGAAACGCATGAACTTCACTCAATTCAACGCGTTCAAGTACCAGGTGAGGAGTGGGGGGGAAGAGGGAGAACGCAGTGGAGAGAGGGGGGGAAGAGACGGGGAGAGAGAGAGGGAGAGAGAGGGTGAGACGTGCACGTGGGCTGACACACACCGGCTGTCAGACGTGCACTCTGCGCTGATGGAAGCACACATCAACGCGTTCAAGTGTCAGGTAGCTAGAGAGGGCGAGAGAAGGTGAGACGTGGGCAGCGCTGTCAGACTTGCACTCTGCGCTGATGGAAGCACACATCAACGCGTTCAAGTGTCAGGTAGGCGGAAGCTGTAGGACATGCGGAGTGCTGAGAGCATCCGCCAGGAGACGCCTGTCGTCCAGTTCTATGAGCCTTCCTCCACCCATGTCCTCTTGCATTCCCCGCTTCCATCAGGTGATTGTTGATGGGGGAGGTGGCAGCTGCAGGACGTGCGGAGTTCTGCGATCCAATCAGCTGAGCATCCGCCAGGAGACTCCCTTGTTTCAGTTCTATGAGCCGCTGCTAGAGGATGGGGTGCACTGGCTGGTTACCACCCGCACGTGAGTAACATAACAGCTGTGCCTGCTGGTAACCCTATGACCACTTACACGTGAGGAACAATGCCTATTGGTAACCCTATATTAGCCATACAGACGCCTCCCTTTCAGTTCTACGAGCCTCTGGCCCTCTGCTTGGGGATGGGGTGCACTGCACTGGCTGGTTACCACTCGCACATGAGTAACAGCTGTGCCTTCTAGTAAGTAACCGTATCAATCAACCATACAGACGCCTCTCTTTCAGTTCTACGAGCCTCTGCTTGAAGATGGGGTGCACGGGCTGGTTACCACTCGCACGTGAGTAACAACTGTACCATCTGGTAACCCTATTACTACACACGCGCCTCTCTTCCAGTTCTTCGAGCCGCTGCTGGAGGATGGTGTGCACTGGCTGGTTACCATGTGCACGTGAGTAACAACTATGCGTGCTGGTAACTCTATACAGCCATAGAGACGCCCTCCTATTTGCAGCGAACCATATGGCGCAGTATGCTTGCACATGGAGTGGCAGGCAACAACCCCTCTCCACCACTCTCAACCCCTCTTTAATCCCTTCTCAAATGCAGCGAACCACATGGCGCAGTATGCTTGCACGTGGAGCGGCAGGCAGGCAGGAAGGCTTCTATACTGAGCGCTGTTGGCAGGCCGAGGGGCCATGCGATACAGGTTGCCGATGTGAGACAGCTTAAGAACCCTCTCCACCCCTCTCGATCCCCCTGCAACCCTCGAATTCTCCGATCTCCCTGCCAAGATCCGGTGGGCCTAGGAGAATGACGATGCAGCACAGAGGCTGGTGCATGCAGCGAACAACATGGCACAGTACACTTGCAACCGCTCATACAACCCCCACTACCGCTGTCAACTCCTCCTTAACCCCCGTTATTTACAGATTCTCTGATCTTCCTGCTAAAATTCGGTGGGTCCAAGAGAACGACGATGCAGCACAGAGGCTGGTGCATGCAGCGATTCACATGGCACAGTATGCCTGCACGTGGAGTGGCAGGCAGGCAGGCAGGCAGGCAGGCAGGCAGGCAGGCAGGCAGGCAGGCAGGCAGGCAGGCAGGCAGGCAGGCACGCATGCAGGCAGGCACGCATGCAGGCAGGCAGGCAGGCACGCGTGCAGGCAGGCACGCATGCAGGCAGGCACGCATGCAGGCAGGCAGGCAGGCACGCGTGCAGGCAGGCACGCATGCAGGCAGGCAGGCAGGCACGCAGGTGGCTGTACTGGGGGGGTTGTGAGACAGCTCAACCACCCCTCTCCACCCTTCTCTATTCCCCTGCAACCCTCAGATTCTCCGATCTCCCTGCTAAGATACGCTGGGCCCAAGAGAACGACGACGCAGCACAGCGGCTGGTGCATGCAGCGAACCACATGGCGCAGTATGCCTGCACGTGGAGTGGCAGGCGGCTGTACTGGGCGCTGCTGCTCGTCAAGTACCATGACGTCTTGCAGGACCCGTCGGCCATCACTGAGCCTACTGCCAACGAGATGTGCACCAAGCAGTGAGTTCGCACTTGCCTCTTTCCCATGTCTCTTCCCCTCAACAAGGCCGCTGTACTGGGCTCTTCTCTTGGTCAAGTACCATGACGTGCTGCAGCACCTATCCGCCATCACAGAACCTACTGCCAACGAGATCTGCACCAAGCAGTGAGTGGCGTGGTGCTGGTGTATGTTCGGTCGCTTTAGTTCTTCCGTTCCTGTACTGGGCGCTGCTGCTGGTCAAGTACCACGACGTGCTTCAGGACCCCTCAGCTGTGACAGAACCCACTGCCAACGAGATTTGCACCAAGCAGTGGGTGGTGCCACTCTGTGTTTCCTCGATTTTGTCTCTCGGCTCTCTTCCCGCCCTTCCATCGCTGCTGCTCGTCAAGCACCATGACGTGCTGCAGGACCCCCCTGCCATGACCGAGCCTACAGCCAACGAGATTTGCACCAAGCAGTGAAGTGCTTTCTTCATGCCTCCCTCTACCACCCAAACCCCAAATCCACACCCACTCCCTCCCGGTCGTTATCCCAGGCCCTTTCTCCAGCCCTCCTTCTCCCCTCCCTCCCCCCGTCTTCCTCCCCCCTTTTCCTTGCTGCTTACTGCTTTCATCCCAGGCCCCTTCTCCAGCCACCTCCCAACGCCACCAACCCTGCTCTGGTGCTCTGTGCCGACTCTGCCGCAACCAAGCACCAACCGGACTCTGCATTTCTCATTCCTCCATCTCCCCTCTCTCCCCCCGTCTTCTCCCTCTTTCCCTCCTCTCACCCTTCGCCTCGTCTATCCCTGCTATTACCCCAAACCCCTCTTGCAACCCCCTCCCAACGCCACCAACCCTGCTCTGGTGCACTGTGCCGACCCCGACGCAACCAAGCACCAGCCGGACTCTGCATTCCCCATGTGTCTGTCTCCCCTCCCCTCTTCCACTCCACCACTGGCGTTTTTCCTTGTTATTGCAGACCACTTCTACAGCCCCCTCCCAACGCCACCAACCCTGCTCTGGTGCACTGTGCCGACCCCGACGCAACCAAGCACCAGCCGGACTCTGCATTCCCCATGTGTCTGTCTCCCCTCCCCTCTTCCACTCCACCACTGGCGTTTTTCCTTGTTATTGCAGACCACTTCTACAGCCCCCTCCCAACGCCACCAACCGACCCTGCAATGGTGGATTGTCGACCCTGACTCATCCAAGCACCAACCCGACTGCGCACTCTTCATGCCCCCATCTCTCTGCCACCCCTTTCCCCCCACACCTGCTGCTTTTATCCCAGACCCCTCCTACAGCCCCCACCCAACGCCACCAACCCTGCTCTGGTGCACTGTGCCGACCCCGACGCACCCAAGCACCAGCCGGACTCTCCATTCCTTTCATGCCTCCATCTCTCTACTACCCCCTTTCCCCTCAACCCTGCTGCTTTTATCCCAGACCCCTCATACAGCCCCCGCCCAATGCCACCAACCCTGCTCTGGTTCACTGTGCCGACCCTGACGCACCCAAGCACCAGCCTGACTGCGCATTCTTCATGCCTCTTTCTGCCCTCCCTCCTTCCTTCCTCCTCGCCCCCTCCCCTTGCTCCACCCCACTATTACCGCAGGCCCCTTCTACAGCCCCCACCCAACGCCACCAACCCTGCTCTCGTGCACTGTGCCGACCCCGACGCTCCCAAGCACCAGCCTGACTGCGCATTCTTCTGTGCCAAGGCCACCATTCCCGACTCGGGGCTCATCTGGCTGCGAGCAGACGTGCTGAGAGGGCTCAAGAAGATTGGCCCACCGTGATTGCTTGCTGTGGGATAAAGTCAGATGAAGTATGGTGGGGGGAGGGGAGAGGGGGGTGAGGGGGGGGCACGGTCTACATACCACTTTAACTTTACCACTAGCTGGACTGTGCATTGAATGAAATGTGGGTACAAGTACTAACCCTAACTTCGGGTTCTACCCCATATGAGCTACCCCACTATAGCCTTCACAAAACTAACACATATATAGATTGTGACAAGACTCTGAAAAGAGTTTGCAATGCAGTCGTGGATCTGTGGGGGTTATGAAAACGAGAGCCGTTGAACTCGTCAAATCGAGCCAACCAGAACCGAAGCTCATCCACCGAACTATCAGATAGGAGATTTCTGTGATTCCAAGTCGGACATTCTGCTATTTGCGTGAGCAGATTATGCGAGAACGCGCGGGCCACGGTGCCGGGCGCGAGCGACATGGATGCGAGCATTCCTGTAATGCGGGCGAGGCGGCAAATCGGGACGAGACGTCCCTGCTGCCCTCTGAGCACGTCAGGCGCATTTCCTAAAGAAGGTGTGCCCGTCGTGTCGAGTCCACGGAGAAAGACAACTAATTGGTATCCAGGAGCAGGCTGAGGAGTTTGAGGCGTTGTACTGGTTCGAGCTGAGACTTTTTGTATTGTTAATAAATCCAGCATGTCGGAGATCTTGTAGAATGGTGTCCCGAAATTGCAGTGCGCTAGTAAGGGTCACATTGATTACGAGGATATCATCCACGTAAGGAATTATTCAAATCCCTCGACTTCGCCACCGTTTGGCAAGCTGCTTGATGAGCTGAGTGAACAGGAAGGGTGCGGTCGCGAGTCCAAACGGGAGAGAGAGAAACTGATATTCCACGCCTTGGAAAGAGAATCCAAGAAAGCGCTAGAAGCTAGGATGAATGTCGACATGATGGTATCCTGATTTGAGGTCGATTGTGAATAACCAGGCATCCTGCTGAACGAGATCAGGGATACGATTAAGACCCTCGTATCGGAATTTAGATGTATGTAAAAAACTATTCACGTGCCTCAGGTCGAGGATGAGCCGCTCCTTGGTCGGTTGTACAACCAAGTTCAGAGGACTAGAGCATGTATTTACTGTCCGGGACGAGATAACGCGTGCTGCTCCAGTGGCTACGAGCTCGGCAATTGCCTCTGTCGTGAAAGTGATATGCTACGCTACGCCAGGGTGGTTGGGTGCACGCCAGGGTGTGGGCTCGTTGTTCACCTATGGTAGCTGGTAACCGCGCGAGATTATGGAAAGTATCAATCTGCTTGTCAGAATCTAGCAGCAGGAATGACGGGCCTGCAGGGGCGGGTAGCGGGCCTGATCGGCCTGCAGGGACGGCTGGCGGCCTGACGGGCCTGCAGGGGCGGCGCTCTGGCCTGACGGACCTCCAGGGGCGGCTCGCGGGCGTGACGGGCCTGCAAGGGCGGCTAACGGGCCTGACGGGCTTGCAGGGGCGGCGCACGGGCCTTACAAGGCTGTAGGGGTGGCGCGCGGGCCTTACGGGCCTGCAGGGGCGGCACGCTGGCCTAGGGCAGCAATAGGCAGCGTGAGGGCTGCAGGACGGCGCGCGCGGCGCAGCACGTCACAAGGCAAGGCAGGCAGGCAGGCAGGCAGGCGCAGGACAATACGGGGGGTAACGTGGTAACCGCAACGGTAGGTGGGCCCGAAAAAAACGGTCCTACGGACCTAGTGCTCTGAAACCATGTCAGAAGCCTAAGTTGACTTAGGACTTGGGTTGAGGGTAGAACGAGAGTTACGAGAGGAAGGGATCGAGAGATTAGCCAAAAAAGAGGGTGTTCACTATAGAGCGAGCAGTACAAATAGGCAAGAATCAAGAAAGGCGCACCACCAATCAGAATGTTATATGACTACAGTATTCTACACTACAGGCACTTATAGAACAATATATAGAATTATATGTTATTCTAACACGCCCCCATAAGTGCCTGTAGGGAAGAATGTGCAGTCAACGCCCGCATAATGGGGTACACCAGACAGGGTGCAGCGGAAGAAACAGTGGCAGGCAAAAGCAGTAATAACCGGTGCAGAAGTGGTAGAAACAGCTGTAGCCAACCCTCAGCCAAGGAAGAAGCAGTAACATGTGTAGAAGGCGGCAGGTAGCATGAGGAGCAGGCTCTATGGCTGCAACAGGCAGCAGGACAGCAGCGGCTCGACGGCAGCACCTGCAGGCCCAATCAGCAGCAAACAACAAACAGGGCAGGTGGCGACAGGGGCGACAGTTGGAGGTGCCACAGTAGTAGCGGGCGGCAGCAGCAGATACCCGGCTGTCTTCCGCCACCCTCTCTCACCCTCCCCCCCACAGCGGCACGCACGACAGTGAGAGAGAGAGGAGGAAGGGCGGCTGCTGGCTTGGCTGAATGTCTCTCGCCACCCCCTCACATTTCCCCCCTTCCCCCATAGCGACAGGCGCAGGAGGGAGAGAGAGGAGAGAGGAGGGCGGCGGCTGGTTCCTACGGGTACACTCCTGCCACCCCTGCACCCTCCCCCCCACAGCGATAGTCGCACATGGGGCGATAAAGGGCGACGGCAAGCGCTGCTGGCGTCTCACAGCGATCACCTCGTCACGCCACCTCCCCCACTGTCCGCCACCGCCGCCACTTTTCCTCCACTGCCCGCCACCCTCAAAACATTCCCTCACAGCAGGAGCGCTCGCGACAGCTGTAGCGGGGCCGGTGGGAGGGAGGGCGGGGACAGTTGCACGGGCGCGACGGGCGGGATAGGGGGCCGGAACGGAGGTGCGACGAAACGGCGACGGGGCAGCGTGGCCGCAAACGACGGGCGGAACTGTCAAACTCATATGCTTTAGTCTGTGTAGGCTATAGTGGGGTAGACAATATGGGGTACAACACTTTTAGGTTATCCTACTTGTACCCACTTGCTTGGTAGTTCATTCATTCCTCGTTCTTTCACATGGTATAGAGCAGGTTCCCTAGTGGGAACGTTTCCTAGGGCCCACCAAATATCGATTTTTTTTTTCCTGCCCGTAGCGCGCTTCGCCCGTGCCCAAGTTGCGCCCCGTGTGCCTACCCTCCCGTCGCGTCCACTGCCCTAAGTGGCCCGTCGCGCTACCTTACGGCCCCGTAGCGGCCCCTCTCACGGCCCCTTTGTGGCCCATTCGTGGCCCCTTTGTGGCCCCTTCAGGCCCCTCGTGGCCCCTTCGCGGCCTCCCTTCGCGGCCCCTTCGCGGCCCCTTCACGGCCCCTTCGTGGCACCTTTGCGGCCCCTTCGCGGCCCCTTCACGGCCTCTTCGCGGCCCCTTCATGGCCCCTTCGCGGTACCTTCGCGCCCCCCTCGCGGCCCCTTCATGGCCCCTTCGCGGCCCCTTCACGGCCCCTTCGCGGCACCTTCGCGGCCCCTTCACAGCCCCCTCGTGCCCCCCCTCGCGGCTCCCTTCGCGGCCCCTTCGTGGCCCCGCCCTGTCGCCAATCGCGGCCCCGCCCCGTCGCCAGTCGCGGCCTCGCCCCGTCGCCAGTCGCGGCCCCGCCACGTCGCCCCTGCCTCGTTGCGACGCCCCTGCGGGACCCGCGAGGCGCGGCTCCTGTGCGTCGCGACGCCCCTGCAGGACCCGCGTGGCGTCACCCCTGCCCTAACCAGCCGCACCCTGCCCTAACCCGCGCCTTGGAGAAGCGGCCCCTGGAGCAGCCACCACTGCAGCACCCGCCCTTGGAGTAGCCTCCCCTACAGCAGCCGCCCGTGGAGCAGCCGCCCCTCAAGCAGCCGCCCTTCGAGCAGCCGCCACTACAGCAGCCGCCCCTGGAGCAGCCGCCACTGCAGCAGCCGCCCTTGGAGCAGCCTCCCCTGTAGCAGCCGCCCCTGGAGCAGCCGCCACTGCAGCAGCCGCCCTTGGAGCAGCCTCCCCTGTAGCAGCCGCCCCTGGAGCAGCCGCCCTTGAAGCAACCGCCCTTGGAGCAGCCGCCACTATAGCAGCCGCCCCTGGAGCAGCCACCCCTGTAGCAGCCGCCCTTGGAGCAGCCGCCCCTGCTGCAGCCGCCCCTGGAGCAGTCGCCTCTGTAGCAGCCGCCCCTGCAGCAGCCGCCCCTGAAGCAGCCGCCACTGCAGCAGCTGCCCCTGGAGCAGCCTCCCCTGCAGCAGCCGCCCCTGGAGCAGCCGCCCCTAAAGCAGCCACCCCAGGAGAAGCCGCCATTGCAGCAGCCGCCCCTGGAGCAGCCACCCCTACAGTGGCCGCCCTTGGAGCAGCCGCCCCTGCAGCAGCCGCCCCTAGAGCAGCCACCCCTGCAGCAGCCGCCCCTGAAGTAGCCGCCCCTGCAGCAGCCGCCCCTGGAGCAGCCGCCACTGCAGCAGCCGCCCCAGGAGCAGCCACCCCTGCAGCAGCCGCCCCTAGAGCAGCCGCTCCTGCAGCAGCCGCCACTGCAGCAGCCACCCCTGGAGCAGCCGCCCCTGCAGCAGCCGCCCCTGGACCTGTTGCCCCTATAACTGCCGCCCGTGGAGCAGCCGCCCCTGCAGCTGCCGCGGAGCCCTCGCCCTACAGTGGTAGCGGCCTCGCCGTTGCCGTCGTCGTACGCCTGCCCTTCTTGCCACTGGTGAGCACTGCCTTGCCCGTACTGCTGTTACTGCTGCTCTTGCTGCTACTACTCTTTCTACAGCTACTGCTGCTCTTGGCGTAGCCAGATGCAGTTCCAGCGCCATCCGCCTGAGTCCCTCATCCCCCAACAGCTTTGTGAGTGGTACGCTAGTTGGGGTTATAGGGGTGGCTACGCTGCGACTACTGCTATTGCTACTGCGGCTACCACTTCTCTTGTTGCTCCTGGCGGTGGCCGGATGCAGCTCCAGCGACGTCCGCGTGAGTCCCTCACGCCCCAGCAGCTTTGTGAGTGGTACGCTACTTTGGGTTGTTGGGGTGGCCGTAGTGGGAGTCGTCCTGGAGTGAGTAGTTCGGCAGCTGCTTGTACTGGCCAGGTGCAGCTGCAGCATCGTCCATACGCGGTCCTTTCGCCCCAGCAGCTTCGTGAGTGG